GGAAGTGTATTCTGGGAAAGGGAAATGAATGATTTTATAGAAAAGCTCAGAAAATATAACAACTTTTTTTTTTTACATAAAACATAACCAAGATCAATGATCTGTTTTCTCCTTTCTAGAAATTAAGTTACAGCCTTTCCTTAATATAAGAAATTAGAGAGTGATAGATGGACAGCAGAGGAACTAATGGAAAACTTCTAAAGGAGATTTGGAATAGGGAAACCAAAGTGTTTAATAAATTGTGTCTAAGAGCTTCAGATTTGCAGTTTGTATATGGAAGAAGAAACTAGGCAATTGTGCATGTACAGCACAATTAGTGTATTCTCAAGCCCACTGTTTGGATGCTGATTTTTTTCTGTTATTCTCTTATTCCAAAATGTGTATTTTCATCGCAAGGCCAGACTGGAGTTTGCCCTTTCTGTTCCTGTATTGGACACTGTCAAGTCTTATCCTCTTTGGTCCAAAGACACCCCCTTTGTATTCTTATTCTCATTTTACAGAAGGAGAAAATGAGGCCTTAGGGGATTTAAGTGACTGTTCCACGGTCACACAGGAGGCCTGTGACACTGTTCCCAACTGCCACCTTGTCACTGCTCAGAGCCAATTGAACAGGTCATTACTAGCAAAGCAACAGTGACACCTATAGTTGAGACTGCCTAACAGTTTCCATTATATCATGTATTTAGTTGCTTAAAATTTTGCAAGACAAGAATTTCTGTGGATGATCTCTTTTATTGGACTAGCTGCATGTCTGGGACAGACTGGGACAAACTTTCAGGTATCACATTACCCTTCTTTGGGTCTCTGGGAGAGAAGCAGACATAGCAGAGATAAGTTTCAGATGGAACAAAAGCGTGTGTAAAACTCCATACATAAGAGAGCAATACAGTAAATCAGGAGGGTCATTGTTATCTGAAGTGTAGAGATTTTGACACACTTTTATTGTATAGACTAATATTTGCTTTGCTGCATCCACCTCAGGTCCCAAGTTCTTCATCAAAATACTGAATAAAAGCAAGACAGCTGTTTTGGAGGCTTCCAATATTAATCCTTATCTTGCTCCAAATCCCAAAGGTTTGGAGAAGAAACTTGAACTTTGGCAGAGGGATATCACTGTTTTATTATCCTTAGAAGATAAACTTAGATTTAGACAAGGGCTTGTCTACCCATGGAGATATTTAGATTACATCTGCATCTACCTGCCTTTCTTGACAGGATGGCTGGCAGCAAACAGTAGTCACCATCAAAGCACTAGAGCTCCTGCGTGACCATGTACTTCCGGCTCCATGTGGCTCCACTCAACAGCTGTGCATGAGTTGCACCGTGGGAAGGCACCAACTGCTGACTGGACCACAATAGCCAACTGAAGGCATTGAAGCATCCATGCATGCCTGTAGCCAGAAGCCAAGCAGTAGTTTCTGCTTTACTCCACTCACATAGGTGAAGTAATTATGCCAGCAGAAAGGTTTTGAATATAAACGTACTCAAGGATTTGCTGGCTCGTCCTCAGGACTAATTAATACATTTTATATGCACACCGTACTTCAGTCCAAATTTCTGTTCAAGTTTAGCTAAGCCCAGGTTATAAAATGCAGAATCTCATCATTCAGACATGCAGAGTAGCACTTGTAATAAACTGGCTTATTATCTACATTAGTGGTCACCAACCAGTCAATCTCTGGCAGTCGATCTCAGTCTGTCAGAGGTTCCATGATCCGGAGTAGCAGGACGCATGTGGCTGTGCTGAACCACCGCCCCTGCCACCTGCGCTGGGTTGGGTGACTGGGGTCAGAGCCCAGGCAGCTTTTTGGTGGGGTGGAGGAGAGGGAAGAGGGATGGATCGGGACAGGGCAGATGGGGGCGGGGGGGTGCAGTAGATCCTGGGATACCAAAAAGTGATCTTCACCATAAAAAGGTTGGAGACCACTGTTCTAACTATTCCAGTTGTTCAGCACATGT